CATCAGTGATTATACCCTCTTCTCTGTGATAGAGGAACAGCCAATGGCCTTTTCCATGCATGCTGCTCTAAGGAACTATCTTGAAAGCATTCTATTTACTCCTCATTGAAGCTACTGTTGTTGGTCTGATTTTTCTCATTTATATGTAGATTAAAATCACCCATAATCATTGCTATCCCTTGACCATAAGAGCACAATTTTTCTTCATCAATATCCTTCCTAAGACATGATTGCTGTTTGGGGGCCTATAAATCACTCTCGCAAGTGATCCCTTACTTATCTTCATCTTCACCTATATTGATTCTGCATCTTGATCTCCCGAACCAAGGACATCTCTAATTATTTCACCAAACCATCATTGATTATGATGCTTTGCCTCCTCACTTCGTATTCTTGACTGCCATATAGATACCCTTTAGTACTCAGAACTCCATCTTGTCATGGTACAATCACATCTTTGTAATACCTATCAGATTATATTTATTCACACCAGTGTGTGTTGTCAGTTCACTTTGTCATGAATGCTACAAACATTCAAATAAAGAGCCTTTAGTTTTTGTTATCCTTTGTTTTGTAATATCTGTTCTTGACTACTGTAATATTCTTTGGTTTTTTTTTTGTTTCTGTTCTTTCCTGTCAGTTTCACTGACCTTCATTTTCCAAATTAGGAGTTTGCTCTCTATTGTTTGATTTATTGTATTATCCAAGCCTAATTCTTCCTCTTCCGCCACCACTCCTCCCACCCACAATTTAATTTAAAGCCCTCTCTATTACCCTGATTATGCAAGAACACCAGTCCCAGGACAGTTCAGGTGTAGACTATCTAAACAGTACAGATCCCACATTTCACAGTGCCACTTGACTCTAGCAACCAGAATGCTCTTCTCCCATACCAGTCTTTGAGCATGCATTCACTTCTCTAACCTTATTCTTTCTATGACAATTTGCACGTGGCTCAGATAGTAATCCAAAGATTATTACTTTGGGGTTTTTGTTTTTTTTAATTTAGCACTTCTTGTTCTACATGTGTGATACTGACATGGACCATGACCACTGGATCCTCCACTTCACACTGCAGGTTCTTTAGCCCAGAACAGAGATCACAAACATTGACACTGAGCAGACAATCTAGCCACCTGAGCCCTCACTCTTTTGCTCCAGAGAAAATTGTTAATTCTCTGCCACCATACTGTCCCTTACTTCTTTTTGCTTTCCTCTTTGCACTCTCTCTCTCTCCTCTTGTTCATTCCTACCCTCACCCCCTCCCAACCACAGAGACACACACACACAAAAATGACTTCCTGTACCACAGTGCCATGGCCAGATAGTTCATCAACCCTGCAGCACTCACTCCTGTTCAATATTCAAACAAGCTGAGAAACCATAAAGCTGTGAGATAATCACAAAGGCTGAGGCTGCTATTCCCTGGGTCCCCTTACTTACCTCACCTGTAGTTACTTCCCTTCTGTCCCTGACCACTGACCAGATCAGAAGACCCAATCGTTAGGAGTGTGATTATCTCCTGGAATGAAGTGTTCAGAAACATTCCTCTCCCTAATGTGTCATAGTGCCTGCAGCTCAGCCTTCAGCTCAATTCTGAGTGAAAATTCCTGCAACTGCAAGTACTTACTGCAGATGTTTGCTGTCATTCATGACAGCATCTTGAGCTCCCATATTCTACAATTGCAGCAGACCTACTCTACCATCCCTGTGTTAACTGGTAATTGCTAATTACTTCATTTATCATAAATATAGCCAACACCTTACAAAACAGTTCAATATTTACAATACTGCCAAAACTTGCAGTTTCTAATAATACCAGCGACTGAATTACCTGCTGCTGCACAAAATTGGAAATGAAGTGCCAAAAGTGGGGAGAAGCATGTGCACGTTCACTGAGCTCTTCTTCTCAACACAGTTCATTCACCTCTTACATTAAACCTTACATAAAGCACTACTTTCCCCAAGCGCTAACTTCCCAGATATACTCAAAAAGTCTGTCTCATTCAGGTGAAGTTTCCCTCATATTACCCCGCTCCCTGATTGTGCATTTTAAAATCCTTTTATCATGCAGAGCTGTGATGAGTCACTCTCCAGCTTATTTTCTTGCTACAGTAATCAACACCCGATCAGATCCCTATTCAAGCAAGGTGTTTCACATGATTGATAATGTTTTACTAGGCTATTGCCTGTTTTACTTGGTTATTTTAACTAAAAGTCTGTTAGTTCTCTGTCAGAATCTGATTCTTACTCGAAATGGAACTTTAAAAAGATTTACCAGTTGAATTCTCATTTTGAATCAACTTTCTAAATATACTCTGTGTCATTCAGGCAAAGTCTACCTGACTTTTAGTCATCTATTTGTTGTAGGATCACTTACTCCAGTCTGTCACCTGCTTTTTCTGTTTGGCGTGCAAGTATTACTGTGTTGTAACTTCATGTTGCAACTCATTTTTAGGTGTGCCTAGTGCTGTCCCTGACATGCCCTGCTGCACTTCTTTTTTTGAAGCAAGCTTGGCCCATTCCTTGATAGTAATGGTAGAGTGTGGATATGCTGGGCTATGAGGTTACATGTTCTGATTGAATGAATAAATTCTGCTGTTGCTGATGGCCCACAGTGCCTCATGGATGCCCATTTCTGATGGTCTGTCCTGCTGGTAGGATGAACCATAACCAAGAATGGTCATGTCTGGGAAATTATCTATCTGTAGGGTATGATTCTGGAAGAATGATTGATTGTACGGCTGTTGCTTGACTAATCTGTAGGACAAGTCTCTCAATTCTGACATCAGTCCCTAGATGTTACTAAGGAGTACTTAAAAGGAGAGTAGACAGTGCTGGGTTTGTCATTAATGTTTACAGTGACCATGTCAATGCCATTTGGTCAGTATGGTTTCATGCTTTCTTTATTTGCACTTTGAAAGTGGTTTGGTACAATTGAGAGGCTTGCTAAACAACTTCAGAGGGCATTTAACAGGATCTGGAGTCACATGTAGGTCAGACCAGGTAAAGATATCCTAAAGGACATAAGTGAACCAGATTTTTTTTTTACAACAATCGACAAGCTTTTAATATTTTCTAATCACCTGTTCAGAGATGTTATTACACACTTCTGGAGCATGTGGGACTTGAACCTGGGTTTCCTGGTACCACAGTGCCACACAAACCCTCAATGAGCTTTTAATGTATTTTCTAATCAATGTGTTTAATAATATTTAAACACTCTGGAACAGGTGGGACTTGAACTTGGGCCTCGTAGTTCAGAAGTAGGGCCACTAACACTACACCACAAGAGCTCTTTGACAAGCTTTTAATTCTAGATTTATTGATTGACTTTCGAATGTTGTCATCTGCCATTTTGAGATTCAAATCCTTATCCCAGAGCATTATCTTGGTTCAAAAACAGATGTTGCTGGAAAAGCTGAGCAGGTCTGGCAGCATCTGTGAAGAAGAAAATCAGAGTTAACGTTTCAGGTCCAGTGACCCTTCCTCAAAGTTAGGAAGTTCTGAGGGTCACCGGACCCGAAACATTAACTCTGATTTCTTTTCTTCACAGATGCTGCCAGACCTGCTGAGCTTTTCCAGCAACTTCTGTATTTGTTCCTGATTTACAGCATCCGCAGTTCTGTGGATTACTAGTCCAATGACATTGCCACTACCTCTCCTGCTAATTATAGCAGTTAAGCAATTATATTTTCGTTATCCTCAGAAGACAAATACATAAAAACTGAGCTTTTTGTATTTTACTGGAAGCTTGAAAGAGAGGATCACCATTATATTCATGAATCCATTTACCTTTATTAATTTTCTGTCAGTGTAAGTGTTTGGTAACTGTGAAGCTTCTGCATGCAAAATCACTAATTGTTCAAAAGCTGAACATTGTTCTGGAGTTGAACTTGATTAATATTTATCCATGAAGAACCCTATGTTTTTTACAAATTGAATATTAAAAGATGAAACAAGATCTCAATTAAAAGCAAAGTAATGACCTGCTTATTTGTTCCTTCAAAGGAATTGTGGGAATGTGTTTTGCTCAAGTTGTTGCAACCAGAAGATCCCAGTACCGAGTCAGCAGCTTTTTGAGCCTAGTCGTGTCTGTAAATCCTGCTACAGCAGCCTTCAGCCAAATGGGTCCACGCTGGATATAGAACTGGACAAACCCATTGCAGCTACTTCAAACTAAAGGCAATGCCTTTCCTCCCACAAACACGCACATTTATGGGACGATATACAAGAAGCCAAGCACTTTGGTTACTGTGCACTTGAATGTGGACTGAATGCACAGTATTGCTTGGAAGTTGTAACAGGATGTGGTGGATGGAGATACATTTGGATAAAATAACTTAAAGCTGTTTGAAAGTTTATTTTATGGTGGCTTGTGGCGATTGGGATAGAGTGGGCAGTGCAGTATATTACTGTATTAACCAAAGGCCTTAGACTTGCAGAAGTGGTAAGCAAATTTTTATTGAGCAGTCGCATCAGCACACTACTCCCTCTACAGGCTTAATTGAATATACAACATCTTAAAATAGATCAGTGTTAATTATGTTCCTTTTATTTACAAAAGAAATTTGATATTTTGGCATGTACAGAAAGTATTATAAATGCCCTATAGTTACAGCAAAATGAATTTACAGTGAACTGATGGGCACTGAAGGAATTAGATATTTTAAGTTTTGTTTACACAATGTATTGTAAGCTCAAACATTTTTGTCTATTTGGAACAGGATTTCTTTTGAGTTTAGTGAATTAACCTTTTTCTGCTCTGATTCTGAAATGCTAATGAAGGTTAGAGGAGGTCAAGAAACAAGAAGTTCTAGATAGGTGCCATTGGTTACAGTATGATACGGGTTTCTGGGATTGTGTTTTAAATGCATATTTTGACATTTGTTGTTTCATTTTTTTTCATGCAAGCACTTTTTCTTTTATTTTTCTCTTTGTATATGAAGAGGACAAAATGCTATTGCTAGCTTTGTAGCACTCTTCCCTAAAAGATATTAAGTGCTCCTTGGCCCACCATGAATAGAGATGTTATTTTTCCAATTTTGTTTTAAAAAGCGGGAATTGCTGTAGGCAATTTCCAAATATGTAAAGAAAATTACAAATTTAGCATTTGTATGAAGCTTATGCTAACTCTTATCAATTTTGTTACTTTGTTATTAATCAGCAGTGTTTAATACATATATATAAAAGTAAAATTGTGGGCCAGTGGATATACAGGTTTAAAAAAAACACCAAGTGCTTTTTCCCCTATTTGACTTAGAAAATTAACTTCACAGTTGGGTC